AGTCAACAGATTGGGAGGTACCAAACCTAAGGCACCGAGAACATGTATTATCAAGGATACTCTCGTCAACTTGTCGTGTTGATTTCACCCGTCACTAAAATAGTGCTTTTCAATCGGGCCGACAATTGAGAAGGGCAGATAAACGAAAACGCTCTCCGACTTTTGACAAGTAACGGTTTGGATTCGGGATTTGTACAGAACCATCAACAAAATCAACACTGACATTGAGATAATGTCCCACATCTTTGGCTCGTTTACGAAAACTGTGGAATGCCTTGTTTTCATCATGAGTCTTGACATGTTTCACAAGAGGATCATCAGACAAATAAATGTGTGCAAAAGTGCCCAAAACATTTCTACCATGAAGAACCCCAACGTTAATCAAACCACGCCCTCCCACTATGATTGGTAAATATAAGCGATTGAGAGAAGAGCGAGGTTGGTGGGATCTATATTGCTGGAATATTGCTAATTCACAAACAAACAAAACTGACACTCACACTCACTATTATTAGTATTATTGTTATAATAATCGTGTGATGATGATAGTATATTAGAAAACATACTAAGGAGCAGTGAGTGAGTGAGTTAGTGAGTTGGGTTTAACGCCGCTTTTAACAGTATTCCAGTTATATCGCGGCGTGTCAGCTTAATGTGGGAGGAAAGCCCGAAGTGATGCAGGTCTCAGACGTTTACCACTTCGGTGAAACCCGTGAGCACGGGTAATGGTGCTGACAAACCTAGAAACATAATCGAGGCGAACCGGGATTCGAACCCACAATCATAGGTTTCTGGCGTGTCCAAGGGACGCAACACTGCACAGCGAATCGCGGTGCCTTAGACGACTGGGCCACCCGTGCCCCCACTAAGAAGCAGACCCATATGTAATGCACACATTTAGTTCCACTCCTGGAAACAAAGGAAGGATAGTTCAGATTGTCCCTGGGCCTGGACCAGGTATGTGGCCTGTAGGTTACCAGATAGGATCTCACACATGACACGGGCTATCTCCGTCACATCTTGCTGGCACCCGTGTACATATCTCTTATCTACCAGCTGTATATATGGTTGCCTGTAATTACTTAATCAAAGGATACAGCGGTGTTTGTGTTAAGCTCTCTTTGAAGCAGTTTAGACCCGAGAGAGGAAGGTATTAATTTGAACTTAGCACGATATGTGCTCGACAGGTATAAGACAACACTTGTTATTGGAAACATCAGCCCCACAACGCTCACAGAACACGTCCAACTATTTCATTAACCAGAAGCTATTGGTAAAAACCTAGATATCACCAAACACTCAACCATATATTGTACAATATTTTGGAATATTGTAGTCGTGTTTTTCAGTTAATGGCATAAATAAGTCTTCAACTTTAGCTACATCGCGTAAATTTGAAGCCAAGACTATTGTCATCCGTTGATATACTGTCCTCAAATCTATGCATGTTTTGTTGCCTGTATATATCTACATCTCAAGGTCTGTGCACCGTTCAGTTGGTGGTCTTTTGAAAGGATAGAATCCGATCGTGTTGTTAAAACTCGTTGAGTCACCCTTTGTGCTAAAATGCAACCTTGAAGATTTATTGCTGTGAACATTGTATTTAATATATCGTTTTGACTTTCTGAGTCAAAATTAAATCTTTTCTCAAATAAACTTTTTGAAGCGACTCACTAACTGAGCCGTCTGTTTAGTTGTCTGTGTTAGGGAGGGATTGATTGCCACCGTCAGCATTATTGCGCAAAACGGCAGCTTGTAAATTAGGCAAGTGGTTCATCACGAACACCATGTGTTATATCGGGTATATAAATGTATATAGATCCCACCTGGACGGTGCTTCTCTGCGTTCATGCTGTCATGATATGCCTCGCACCCGGACGGTGACGTTCATGCTGTCATGCCTCGCACCCGGACGGTGACGTTCATGCTGTCATGCCTCGCACCCGGACGGTGACGTTCATGCTGTCATGCCTCGCACCCGGACGGTGACGTTCATGCTATCATGCCTCGCGCCCGGACGGTGACGTTCATGCTGTCATGCCTCGCACCCGGACGGTGACGTTCATGTTGTCATGCCTCGCACCCGGACGGTGACGTTCATGCTGGTGACGTTCATGCTATCATGCCTCGCACCCGGACGGTGACGTTCATGCTATCATGCCTCGCACCCGGACGGTGACGTTCATGCTGGTGACGTTCATGCTATCATGCCTCGCACCCGGACGGTGACGTTCATGCTATCATGCCTCGCACCCGGACGGTGACGTTCATGCTGGTGACGTTCATGCTATCATGCCTTGCACCCGGACGGTGACGTTCATGCTATCATGCCTCGCACCCGGACGGTGAAAGTTCATGCTGGTGACGTTCATGCTATCATGCCTCGCACCCGGACGGTGACGTTCATGCTATCATGCCTCGCACCCGGACGATGACGTTCATGCTATCATGCCTCGCACGCGGACGGTGATGTTCATGCTGTCATGCCTCGCACCCGGACGGTGACGTTCATGCTATCATGCCTCGCACCCGGACGGTGACGTTCATGCTGGTGACGTTCATGCTATCATGCCTCGCACCCGGACGGTGACGTTCATGCTGGTGACGTTCATGCTGTCATGCCTCGCACCCGGACGGTGACGTTCATGCTATCATGCCTCGCACCCGGACGGTGACGTTCATGCTGGTGACGTTCATGCTATCATGCCTCGCACCCGGACGGTGACGTTCATGCTATCATGCCTCGCACCCGGACGGTGACGTTCATGCTGGTGACGTTCATGCTGTCATGCCTCGCACCCGGACGGTGAAGTTCATGCTATCATGCCTCGCACCCGGACGGTGACGTTCATGCTGTCATGCCTCGCACCCGGACGGTGACGTTCATGCTATCATGCCTCGCACCCGGACGGTGACGTTCATGCTATCATGCCTCGCACCCGGACGGTGACGTTCATGCTATCATGCCTCGCACCCGGACGGTGACGTTCATGCTGGTGACGTTCATGCTATCATGCCTCGCACCCGGACGGTGACGTTCATGCTGTCATGCCTCGCACCCGGACGATGACGTTCATGTTATCAGGCATGGGGCGTGTGAGATCCCTTTTCTGGTGTCCCCCTTCCTGACCAGTGGTCACAAGACAGGATTTTGACGGATTAGTCACGTGTCCCTGTCTTGACTTTATTGCATTGAACCCAGACCCTGAGATTACCACAAATCCCCATGCCCCATACACCGGCTATCGGTATGTCCGATGCCGTGACAGATACGATATTTCTCAGCCTTAAATTTCATTTGCCTGAAGAAATTAAATGGATTACCGCAAATCAATACAATATCAAATGACACTGATAATACTGTTCATTCGCCGTGTTTATACTTGACTCACTAAGAAGGAGTGACGGACACAAGCAAAGCTTGTTAATTCTGTTTGAGTCGCTGGGTTTATAAATGACCAAGGTGTACCTAGAGTAGCACTTCAACTGTCTAATACGTGTGACATGTATGCTAGGTTATGTCATGCTACGTAAGTCTTTGGGTTTATACAGGTATCAAGAGATTTAAACTACCTTTCTAGTTGAACATTCGGCATGCATGAACTGTAACTGTAGGCAACATCCTGCAAATATCGTTTTCGTACACCTGACTCACCTCATGTGTCGCACTTCAAAATATTGTAGTTGGAAACTCAATATCAGTCAGCGGTAAGGTGGCCAAGCGGTTAAGCGTTCGATTCCTCACATGATATCAACGCGTGAAGCCAATTTCTGGCGGAGAATCGAACCTGGGTCTTCAGTGTGACCAGCTTTGACCACAAGGCCACCACAGCGCCCAATGGTAGCCAGGAATATGTCAAGAGGCCCCGGGTCACTTTCATCTGGGCGTGATGATGATGAAAAGACTTACATCAGGCTTGGATTAAGAATGCAGCTCTACATCCTGACCTAAACGGTATTTAATAATGTTAAGGATAACACTTTCCATGGCTAGACTATTGACAATTTCCCGTTCAGTGGGGTGTAAAGGTTTGGAATTATAGAAAGAGACACGAACGATCTCTAGCCATTAATCACCAGCACAGGGATTACATGTCTTCAAGAAACCAACGTCAATGTTTTGGGCCGTAAAGTAAAATATTCAATGATGAAAAGAAGGTAGTTCATTAATGTCGGAGAGAGGCAGTAAATCTAGTATTTTCTGCCCTCGTAAGTTAAATGAGCCATCGCCGAATGATCGCTGTGCTAGACACACGCATGGTTCGTTAGTCCGGCCCAGTTAAAGGATTCGTGCATCCATTTAGCGAGGTATCACTTCGACCTTACGTCTTTGATTTGACTGTCGCTATGCATGTTGGTGCAGGAAACACCACGTTTGTGTTTGGCTTACGGAGCAGACGATACTATTACACAGCAGACGACAACAGTCCAGATGAGAATTTTGAAAAGGAGTTTCAATTAGATTCTATAATTAACCTCAAATAAAAACGTTCTCCCCAAAAGTGTTTCGTGATAGAGTGGTTGACAGTCATTTGGTCTGAACACATGGATTGTCTGACAGTTAATGATCTGTCTATATGGTTAAATAGGTGATGACCTTTCTAGCGCGGAGGCTGACTTGTGATCTAAAGAGAGATGTTGGTTGCAGGGGCCGTCCCACAAAGTGATCTTAGTGCTACGACAATCGTACTAAGATCACCGGACGCTGTATCCGTACGTTTACTGGTTTATGATCAATGATCTGTCTTAGATCGATGACCCCGTGTTCCATTTGATTGACGATCTTAGTGATTGATACTCTCATGCAACCCTATCTATCTAATAAAAAAGTATCTATCTATCTATCTATCTATCTATCTTTCTATCTATCTATCTGTCTGTCTGTGTGAGTGTGAGTGTGTGTGTGTGTGTGTGTGTGTCTGTGTGTGTGCTAATTCATATTTACTTATGTTTTAAATGCTAGTATACAAATAATCAATGTTTCGGTTTTGTCGACACAGTTCTGGGAGGTGATCTCAGACGAGCACGGCATTGACCCCACCGGCACCTACCATGGCGACTCCGACCTGCAACTGGAGAGAATCAACGTCTACTACAACGAGGCTACCGGTAACGTGACGTTTCTGAACCTCCATAAATGAACGAAATCGTAATCAAAACAATGCCAAGATCCAAGGTTAAACCTGTTCGTCAATAGGTGGGGGAGGGAGTGTTGCTGTCAGCAACTACCCGTTTTATCAGTTCTGTTAATGATCGAGTCTGGGACAGGTAAACCAGTGGTTGATAGCACGAACAACGATCGTTTCCGTAGGAATAAGATGAATCGCAGTGAGGTCCATGAACCGTCCAATCCTCATTGTGATCGGTTCCCGGGACAAGGGCCTGTGACCTATTCTGTCCCGTAATTCCAACGGCCGTACGTAAATACAGAGTCGCACAATCGTATAACACTATAACACAACTAAAACAAGTTTGTACATGAAGGTGGGACCCTGTAGGGACCAGGCAGATCTTGTGTTCTAGCGTTCCCGGATGGGTTCCTTATAGGATGAAACGGGTGGTTGTGGTGACGCGTGTCTATATTTACTCAGGTAATATAATATATACCTCCGCGAAGTTAAATGAGCCATCATCATCATCATCATCATCATCATCATCATTATACACCATTACGCCCTGAAATGAAAGAAGATAATTTGTTTAGAAACAAACCGTATTCAATAAACACATCGTTACATCATTGACTTTGCTGGATTCAAGTGACATTAAGACAATAGTGACATTTTAAGAACTTTAGATGTATGTCTATGTTCAATGTCAGCCAGTCGGTATAATTGTTCCAAGCTTCCGAAAGCATAGATATATATGGAAATGTCATTGTCTCTTTTGTGCAGTTTATTTATCAGATGAATTTGGTCTCTATTGATAATAAAGCTGGACTTGACAAATGGGGGAACTTTAGCTGATTTTACGTCCGTTTCGCAGTTTTCTTGCCCGCTTGATTGAAGGACGAGTCATTGAAATTCGTGTTTTCATTCTATTTTGTTCATATATCTATTACAGGTCAGTAAAAAGAGGTAAAAGGAGATTTACGTAAATACAGCTGGCAGACATTGATTCTGACTTTGGTGGATTGTACGTTCGCTTCCATTAATACCAATTTGTCCAGCTTGCCCGTGTTTGAAGTTTTCGGATTGTGTTAAGCACTGGGGTCTTTGCTTCCATTCTGTTATGGCCACATACTTATTGCAGGTTGGGAGATACATATTTGTTAGAGTCAAGTGTGTCATGCCATTGTATGTTCGATTTTGTATTATATATCAATCTGTTTAAAATGAGATCTTATATTCTGATATGATACCTCTGTGTGTGTAGATCTGAGGACACCTCTGTAGGGGGTGAGGTGAGGTGAAATAGGACGTTAAAAGATGGTACTTGTTGTTACCCTGTCTGGCGCTCGGCATTAAGGGGCTAAGACAAGGACTGGTCGGCTCGGAGTCAGTATACTGTGTCTGAGTGGGGTATTCATGTTCAACTGCGGCATGGTATCTCAGTGAGCTAGCACTATAAATCGGCATCAGTCCGGACTAGTGCAAGCAGCCACACAAACACACACACACGTACATGCAGTCGCTATATAAGTGCAATAATCCTGGACGCGACGTTAAACACCATTTCCCCTCACCCACCTATTTCTCAGAAGAATACATATTTCTGTCCAGACTTACATTTACCCGTGGGAATAATGGTTGTATTGTCATTATTAATGTGTATTACCATTATCATTGTTATCATCCTTTATGATTTGTATCCCGATTGCAGGCGGCAAGTATGTCCCAAGGAGTATCCTCATTGACCTGGAGCCCGGCACCATGGATTCTGTCAGGTCCGGACCTTTCGGGCAGATTTTCCGGCCAGACAACTTTGTTTTCGGTAAGTCCATCTGGGCTTGTATTACCAGGAACTACATCAAATTAAGATACTTCGCTATACTCCATCACGCGAACTACTTCAGTCAAACAATTTCTCCTCTTAACAAATCTCTGGTAACTGTCTTCTTCAGGTCAGAGCGGAGCCGGCAACAACTGGGCCAAGGGCCACTACACGGAAGGAGCCGAACTCATAGATTCTGTTCTCGATGTTGTCCGGAAAGAGGCGGAAAGTTGCGACTGTATCCAGGGCTTTCAGCTCACTCATTCATTGGGCGGGGGGACAGGGGCGGGCCTGGGGACCCTCCTCATCAGCAAGATCAGGGAGGAGTACCCCGACAGAATCATGAACACATTCTCAGTTGTTCCATCACCCAAGGTGAGCGTAAAGAACGTCAAGGCCATTTGTTTAATGGTTACCCCTCTGATAGGAACAGCTAGCTTTACGGCGTTACTGTTTCAGCAGGGGACAGGGGTGGCCAAGTCGTCTAAGGCGTCGCAATTCGATGTGCAGAGTTACGTCCGTGGGCCAGTGACAATGAAATTGTCTCCTTTTGGGCACACCAGAAACCTAACATCGTGGGTTCGAATCCCGGTTCGCCCCGATTATGTTTCTAGGTTTGTCAGCACCATACCCGTGCTCTTGAGTTTAACCAAAGTGGTAAACATCAAAGGCCTGCATCACTTTAAGCTTTCCTCTCACATTAAGCTGACACGCCTCTGGAATACTGTTCCAAGCGTTGTTAAATCAAAATCACTCATACACTTACTCACTACTGTATTAACAGATATGCTATAGGTTGGAGCACTGTCAAACAAACAAACAAAGTCAACAACCCTTCAAGTTGGTAACTGTCAAATCTAGATCTAGACGTTGTGGCTCGAGACATATTTGAAACTTCGACGTTGCCACTGTGTAATTATCGTATTCCTCAGCTGTTAGATTGATTCAATTGGAGATACATGTAACGGACAATAAAGTGGTGTTGGGCAGCTTGCCTCAAACTTGCAAGGACTGCCAAATGGTTTGACCCTAACTCCTCATCAACGTTCAGATGATGAGAAAGGTGTGTTTGTTGTACCAGGTGTCCGACACAGTTGTGGAGCCGTACAACGCCACCCTGTCCGTCCACCAGCTGGTCGAGAACACAGACGAGACGTACTGCATCGACAACGAGGCTCTGTACGACATCTGTTTCAGAACCCTCAAGCTGACAACCCCCACCTACGGTGACCTCAACCACCTCATCTCAGCCACAATGTCAGGGGTGACTACGTGTCTCAGGTTCCCAGGTATGGGCGCTTCCAGGTCACTAAACCGTGGTAGCAATATTCAGGGACATAAACGAATCCTCATTCGCCGTTTACGTTATTTTTTATCATAGATGGCAGTAGGATTTTCACACTGCTTAAAAAGCTGAATAATAAGTCCTTTATATAAAACAGCATTTGTATTTATGAATTTCGTCACAATAAATTGAGTAAAGCGGTTTGTATAATATTCCTAGCAATCTGAAAAGTAATATTAAGTAAAGTAAATCATCATATAAAAAACCTGAGCAGGCAGAACATATTTTAATAACTATAAAGTAAGTCGTATTTCATACAGTTTTGCAATCAAAAGTAATGCATAATTATATTGATGTTTTGACAGGCCAGCTCAACGCTGATCTGAGGAAGATTGCGGTTAACATGGTGCCCTTCCCACGTCTTCACTTCTTCATGCCTGGGTTCGCTCCCCTTACCTCCAGGGGGAGCCAGCAGTACCGTGCCTTGACCGTTCCTGAACTCACACAGCAGATATTTGATGCCAAGAACATGATGGCAGCATGTGACCCCAGGCATGGTCGCTACCTCACTGTCAGCTCCATCTTCAGGGGAAGGATGTCCATGAAGGGTAGGTAACTCTGCTAGAACACTGTCAGCTCCATCTTCAGGGGAAGGATGTCCACGACGGGTAGGTAACTCTGCTAGAACACTGTCAGCTCCATCTTCAGGGGAAGGATGTCCATGAAGGGTAGGTAACTCTGCTAGAACACTGTCAGCTCCATCTTCAGGGGAAGGATGTCCACGAAGGGTAGGTAACTCTGCTAGAACACTGTCAGCTCCATCTTCAGGGGAAGGATGTCCATGAAGGGTAGGTAATTCTGCTAGAACACTGTCAGCTCCATCTTCAGGGGACGGATGTCCATGAAGGGTAGGTAACTCTGCTAGAACACTGTCAGCTCCATCTTCAGGGGAAGGATGTCCACGAAGGGTAGGTAACACTGCTAGAACACTGTCAGCTCCATCTTCAGGGGAAGGATGTCCACGAAGGGTAGGTAACTCTGCTAGAACACTGTCAGCTCCATCTTCAGGGGAGGATGTCCACGAAGGGTAGGTAACACTGCTAGAACACTGTCAGCTCCATCTCCAGGGGAAGGATGTCCACGAAGGGTAGGTAACTCTGCTAGCTCACTGTCAGCTCCATATTTAGAGGAAGGATGCAGGCGAAGGGTAGGTAACTCTTCTAGCTTATGATGCTTGAACATAACATTTCTTCTCACAACAAAGAGTACAGTGTTGGTCTAGTCCGCCGGGCCTCGTTGAAATCTCGGTAGGATTGTCGTAAGGCCGATACCTAAACGTTGACCTACGATGGCAAAGCGTTAGTGTATTATAATATATCTTGTTTTTACTTATTGCCATTTTATTCGATAAATCGTTTGTGGTCACGATAGGACGTGGCAGCAAGAGTTATGACGTCCTTTATTCTCAAGTGGGTGTGAGGGAGGGAGGGGATGTTGTTACTGTATATCAAGGTCTGCGGACAATTGATTCTGGACCAGGCAAACTAATTGTTGGTAGCAGCAGTGACGATCCTCGTCGTAGGTCACACATTGTAAATCCCGATTAGTCTTACAAGCAGGGGTCACATGGGACTTCCCCCCCCCCCCCCCGCTATTGACTTCCAATGTGGTTGTTATGAAGTGGTTAACCTGAATGTATTTCGAATGAGAAATACAAGTCACCAATCCAGTGCAGTCGGCCATAAGGCTTCGTGGGCATCCCGCTTTTTCCCCCGTCGCAGGTTGCAGTCACAAAACATATTCCAGCTTAAAAAAGCTTTCTTGATCTGCTGTTTCTAGAGGTGGACGAACAGATGTTGAACGTACAAAACAAGAACAGCAGCTACTTCGTGGAATGGATTCCCAACAACGTCAAGACTGCCGTCTGCGACATCCCGCCACGTGGTCTCAAGATGTCGGCCACGTTCATTGGAAACACCACGGCCATCCAGGAACTGTTCAAGCGGGTGTCTGAGCAGTTCACAGGTGGGTGTAGGTCATGACGTCACCATGGTTCACACGCCAATTATTACATAGGGACCATGATGGTGTAAGGGCAGACTACTCGTGCAGCCTTGCGCTACACTGACGCACTGCAGCCGAACACCTGACGGTATCGTTTGGGGGTTTTCTCTGCAGTTTGTGTATAGACTGGGCACAGACAAAACCCTATATATTTATATACATAGGATTATGTACAGTGTATATGGTGGGTGGGTAACTACAGTGATTATATGTGTCAAAATGACCATATATATTGATAATACCAAATCAATGATGAATTAAAACCATTTACATAAAGAAGTCCATTCTGGCCATTATTGATAGAAATTCCCTAAACTGAAAAACATTGATTAATAAGAGTCTGATTACTCGGCAATATACTGAACTGTTTTGAGGGGAACTGCCTGGTTATGTTACAGACTCAGTATCACAAAGAAACAGCTTTATTTATCTTTGGTTTAAACAATTTTAATACTCATGTTTATTGGTAATTATCAATACAATTACTATCTAATTGCAGCCCCAGTATAAATGTCGCAATCTGTTAGTGATAGAAACGGTAGAGCTTATATCTAGACACACCTTTGGCTTTGATTAATCTATGTTTACAAGCCGATACGTGTATCCAAACTTGCCTACACCCACCGTACCAACACCCCGGCCGACCTGTGATAATTGGTCATACACACAAGTATGTGTTCTCATACTCAAGATCTGTTCATGGGTCGAAGGCTGGAATATAATGACACGTTTTAGACACAGATTTTATCATTTTACCAAACCTTTCTCGCCTTAAATTCGGTATATTATACACGCATCAGAAACGCAATGTATTCCCATAACACGATATTTTAGAACACAAATATGATTTATTGTTTTTCATAAGCACGATATACCGCATATCTTGCTTGTTATATAACGTGAGCGAGATTGCAACACGCCCGTTCGGCTTGTCTCCGGTTTTATGGCCTGTTAGTGCGTTATCTTGCATAATGCCTTGACAAAGGAAAGGAAATGTATATAATAAAACTAAAGCATGTCCTTTATATGAGCATATCTTTTGGCAGAATCCATTACTCATCAATAGGAGGCAGTACTTTGTTAAGTTTATGCCCAGTTAGTGCAAAACATGTAATTTGATACCCTCCCCCCGTGTATGGATAACTCTTGAAAGATATAATTCATGTGATATTACTGTGAAAACAGAACATTATCTGTGCGCGTGGTACAATTTTAGTCAAAGGCGAAACTATCATGAACATGCAGTTTAATTTATGAAATCTCAGATTGAGAGTTCATAGACGACTTTGATATTTTAGCTTCGCAATACACGTGTAACGTCCCTTTCTTTGTTTAAATAACCTAAAAACGCCGGTGAAACATGTCAATAATGTACTATCTACGGTGTCCGTTCTTTATAATATCTAACTTTGTCCGTTGTGTTACGTTTGACATTAATTTCTAATCTTAGGTAAAAAATTCTTTTCATCTTAAGAGAAATTACTTAACATGTCATATAAAACTTGGTTCAGTGACATTTATTTAATTATATTCTGAATTTATTTGACTTTTTCTCCATCATGTTTCATACATTCACCTTTGTCATATTGGCACTTAATGTGACTTAAAGGGGCCCAGGGGCCCAGAGGCTCAATCGTGTAAGGCACACCTATTCGATGTGCAGAGTTGCGTTACTTGACCGTGCTACAAACCTTGATCGTGTTCGAATCCCGGTTTGCAGTGATTGTGTTTCTTTGTTTTTAAGCACAATACGTGGATTTCACCAAAGTGGTAAACGTCTGAGACCTTCTTCGACCTTCTTCTTAGATCTTCACTTCAGGCTCTCCTCCCTATCGCCCTATCCCCAATCCTCACATACCTACACCCGGCCTAACCCTCCCTCTCCTAATCCCCAACCCTCACACACCCTACCCCAACCCGCACACCCAGTCCCTAACCCTCACACACCCTATCCCTAACCCTCACACACCACATTCCCAACCCTCACACACCCTATCCCTAACCCTCACACACCACATTCCCAACCCTCACACACCCCGTCCGCAACCCTCACACACCACATTCCCAACCCTCACACACACCATCCGCAACCCTCACAAACCCCATCCCCAACCCTCACACACCCTATCCCCGACCCTCACACACCCTATCCTCAACCCTCAAACACCACATTCCCAACCCTCACACACCCCATCCCTAACCCTCACACACCACATTCCCAACCCTCACACACCCCATCCCTAACCCTCACACACCCCATCCCTAACCCTCACAAACCACATCCCCAACCCTCACACACCACATTCCCAACCCTCATACACTCCATCCCCAACCCTCACACACGACATTCCCAACCCTCACAAACCCCATCCCCAACCCTCACACACCCAATTCCCAACCCTCACAACCCCATCCCCAATCCTCACAACCCCATCCCCAATCCTCACATACCCCGTCCGCAACCCTCACACACCCTATCCCCGACCCTCACACACCCTATCCTCAACCCTCACACGACACATTCCCAACCCTCACACACCCCATCCCCAACCCTCACAACCCCATCCCCGATCCTCACAACCCCATCCCCAACCCTCACACACCCCATCCCCAACCCTCAAACCCCATCCCCAACCCTCACACACCACATTCCCAACCCTCACAACCCCATCCCCGATCCTCACAACCCCATCCCCGATCCTCACATACCCCGTCCTGAACCCTCACATACCCCATCCCCAACCCTCACGCACACCATCCGCAACCCTCACAAACCCCATCCCCAACCCTCACACACCCTATCCCCGACCCTCACACGCCCAATCTCCAACCCACACACACCCCATTGCAAACCCTCACACACCCCATCCGAACCCTCGCACACCCCATTCCCAACCCTCACACACCCCATCCCCAACCCTCACATACCCCATCCCCAACCCTCACATACCCCATCCCCAACCCTCACATACCCCATCCCCAACCCTCACACACCCTTTCCCCAAACCCTCAGAGACCCAATCTCCAACTCACACACACCCCATTCCAAACCCTCACACACCCCATTCCCAACCCTCATACACCCCATTCCCAACCCTCACACACCCCATTCCCAACCCTCACACACCCTATTCCCAACCCTCATACACCCCATTCCCAACCCCCACACACCCCATTCCCAACCCACCCCATTCCCAACCCTCACACACCACATTCCCAACCCTCTCAAACCCCATTCCCAACCCTCATACACCCCATTCCCAACCCTCTCAAACCCAATCACACACCCTCAAACACCCCATCCCCAACCCTCATACACCCCTTCTCCAACCTTCACACACCCCATCCCCAACCCTCACACTCCCCATCCACAACCCTCACATACCCCATCCACAACCCTCACATACCCCACCTCCAACCCTCGAACACCTACCCTACTCCAACCCTCGAACACCCACCCTACCTCAGCCCTCTCACACCAAGTTGACACGCCGCCGTTCAAAGCGACGTTACACCAACTCACTCACTAATTTTACTGGTTTTAATCCTTGCATTGCAGCCATGTTCCGCCGCAAGGCTTTCCTCCACTGGTACACGGGCGAGGGCATGGATGAGATGGAGTTTACTGAAGCAGAGTCGAACATGAACGACTTGGTGTCGGAGTACCAGCAATACCAGGTAATATCCTCAGTATATTCAGGACATAAATAAAAAGCCTCGGTTTTATCAGGGACCATAAAACTAAAATGTATTTATGGTCTCTGGTTTTATTCAGTTCTCTCAAGCGTATTTTTTCTACCCCGTGGTTCGAGGTTTTAGTATATATATATATATAACAAGAGCGGGTAACTCTTACCATACCTTTTTAACCAGGTCTGTGGTTTCTAAGCGCTGCCTGCTATGCGCTTTTCAAATACATATGTCTTGCAGACCGGAGGCCAGTTATGGCATGGCGGTATCGTTCGGTGCATATTGCAGATTAAGTTGAGTGGTCCCGAGTGATATCCACGCCATTCTCCATAATCCAGGATATAATATCTTTATTCTATTATCATACATTCCCTGGACCCATTCACCACCATAGCCTCTTTCTTAGTGGGATTCGAAATACGCAAGGCTAAAAGTAGCCGTCCAATCAAATTACGCTCATGGGCGAGAGGAATTCTGTGCGAAGTTACGGAGAAGGGAGGAGATGGTGACGTCACTTTTTTCTCCAGTGTTCGATCTAAATGAGCTAGCTATCCTTGCATTCCCTTTAACAAGTGAAATATTGTGTAAAAGTGTACAAATATCTTGTTGATAACAGTTCTGATGCATGCACAACGATAAGGGGCATTGCAGTGGGGTAGCCTAGTGGTTAAGCCTTGGTGCGTCCGGCCGAAGACCGGGTTTCAATTTCCCTGCATGGGTGCAGTGTGAGGAACCAATTTTTTGGCCCCACCGTGACTTAAAAGCTATTTCAAAGCATCGTAAACATCATTCACTCTCTCTTTTACTGATATTAGTTAAACAGGTTACTAGGCACTCAACGGCTACTAAACCAGCAACAGCTACTCAAGCTACTACCACCACAACACTGAGGACCATCCGCGTCCTCTCAGACCCCATAGTGTTTCCTTCATCTGTTCTCCGACACACAGGTCTCCCACAATGAGCAACGCCCTATAGCTGATGCCTCACGTCTTGACTGCAGGATAATAAATCACCATGTTTTCCTGAACATGTAACATACGAGTCGGACACGAACCATATGCACGTAGATCTACTTGCCAAGGGCCCCCAGTACATGTTTAATGTCTCTCGCAGAAAGAGATTCGCTAGTGGGAGGGAGAGGATTTCTCGCCGTCCCTGTAGTTGCCGTTAGCAGAAAGGCAGCAGTTCATGTCGAAGTGGTGATGGTATATGTTGATAGTAACAGTCCATATGTAATACAAGAAGTTGTTGGGGTATACTATTGGTGGTAGTGGTAGACGCAGGAAGTATTATGGCAGCGGTTTGGGTGGGAAAAGTATTGAGGAAGAGGTAGTGTTAGTGGTGGCGGCACGGCTTGCTACAAGCGGCGTAAAACCATACTCAGGATCACATATGTAGAAGGAAAACACTGCTATCAGACCAACGATAAAAATAGGGGCGAATCTTGTCATCGGCGGATCCTGACACGGCGAAGGACGCAACTCTCAAAGCGTAGCCTGAGTAGTAGTAGTAGTAGTAGTAGTAGTAGTAGTAGTGGTAGTAGCAGCAGCAACAGCAATAGTAGTATTTGATTTAGTGAGTGAATAAGTTTGGTATTACACCACTTGGCAATATGACGGCGGGGGACATGTGTGTGGGTCTTCGGCGTGAAGGGCCAACTTTATCCATTAGACTACCCCACTACCCAATTGATTTAGTAGTAGTAGTAGTAGCAGAAGTAGTGGTGGTGGTAGTAGCAGTAGTAGTAGTAGAAGCAGTAGTAGTAGTGGTGGTGGTGGTAGCAGTAGTAGTAGTAGTGGTAGCAATAGTAGTTGTAGCAGCAGTAGCAGCAGTAGTAGTGGCAGTAGAAGTAGTAGTAGTAGTAGTAGTAGTAGCAATAGTAGTAGTAGTAGTAGTGGTAGTAGTAGTAGTGGTAATAGCCAATGTTGCATGGTACACAGTAATAGTACAAGTTTCAATGGTAGCAGTAGAACTTGTAGTTGAAACACCACGTCATAATTACGGCGGGCACATCAATATACCTTTTATGTACGCTTCTTAAGATTGTAAATGTGTGTCAAAATCTGAAATTAGTTATTTGTACATGAGTATGATACTGTTAACAGCAATTTCCCATTAAAGGTACAATTTACTACCATTATCTGTAGCTATGAATTTGAATTTCAACACCAGAAGGTGAAGTTATTATGATAACGCAATGAACAAGACACACGAGGCAAACAAATTAACAAGGTTTCCCTTTTCATAATAAAAAGATATTCCACATGCACAGATTCCCATCTTTCCCCGTTTGAAGAGCCAAGGTTAAAGTTAATGAGCTGTTAACTAGATAACTCCGTGATTATAGCCCCACGTGGCCAAACGCGATGTTATGATCAGTATTTGAGCAAAGTTAAAACACAAATCATGTTATATTTTTTCTTCATAATGGGAAAGTCGTTCTGTTTTTTAAGGACAGTTTCTAAAACGGCGATAATTGACATACGAAAAGAATAAATAGCATATGCTATCTTCATTATTTTGATCTTGCCATCGCGAAGACGACTTGGCAGGGTCGAGGGGACATCAGTTATGGTAATTGTGCAATAAACAAACACCAAATGTGTCTATTTATAAGTGAAAGAATTCTTGGAGAATTGGAACTATATTTCAACAAAACACATCAGCTGAACGGAAGCGTAGTTTCACCCTGCCGTGCCCTCGTTACGGCATCACGTGCTGCACGAGCCATGCCCTCGTTACACAAGCACGTACTGCGCGAGTCACGCCTTATACCAACTGGATGGGGACACGTGAGGTCCGTGCAATTGCGTATTTGTCTGCGGTGCACATGTTTTGTAATACATTAGAACACATTTTAATGGGTTTGAGATTTTATTGCTGTCAATTTTAATATAATTTCTAATTAGCTGAACAAGGTTTTTTTCTGGTATCTGGTTGCAGGTTATCGTTCATTGTTGCATAAAGAAACGAAACGTGTGCATTTGTTCAAGATTTGGCAGTGAAGCACTGCCAATTAAGAGAGAAACGACAGTGCTTTATCACTGAAATAACCGAAGATGTTGCAAGGTGTCACCATTACGTCATAGGATATGTTGTCATTGAACAATACTGAATATTGAACAATCTTGAAATTGATGCGTCTCATAATTAATACGTCTACTGACCCGTAGCGAAATATGCGACTCCCCCCATATTTTTCAATATAATTATCGGATTTTGTTTAATGTGCGGAGACGTTTAATGAATTCAAATGTTGCCATCTTAGCTGAAAATAAGACAATCTCATTAAAATCAGATTTAAGTTCTCGCTGCCGCTAAACAAAGATCTGAGGACGTCCCATTACGGGTCATGTCAGAACGACCTTTCGGGAACTTTGACCGACCACTGAAATGACTAACAAGAAGTCGACGTCAGCCAATAAGAAAGCAGCTTTCTCGAGCTTTACGGCACTCGTTTCAACCTGGCGACTTCCATTTGAGACTACGTTTGAAAAATATGTTGATACGGTTCTGAATTAAAATTTTGAAAACTTAACAAACGATCATTCCGGAATGTCTAATATATGGTTGAGATTGTATGGCAATGCTTCCCACGTACTGTGCAACGCCTTCTCCGTTCAAATGTTTATCCCTCGGAAGCGAGAGATAGACGATAATTTTGACGGAATCAGTCGTACGAAACACCGGAATACACCGTGTTAACATTTTCGAGTTTGCATGATTAGAAAACGCATTCCGACTGTCACTTTCATGATCTGGTAGGCGACGCTTTGATTGGTCGGATGAAAGGTAATGGGATGTCCTCAGATCTTTGTTTAGCGATAGCGAGAACTACGATCTGATTTTAATGAAATTGAAAATAAGAGCAAATAGAATATTGCTTCGTCTTCACTTCGCGCTTTCCTCCCACATGCAGTGATATAACAGAAATAGTGCCTGTGTTCGATTTCAAAACCCAAGACGACCCTCGTGAACCCGTGATGGCCAAGGTATGACCAAAAAAAACCTTGTTTGACCAATGTTAGCACGTGTTAACTGATTTACCTCATACTTCGGTTGACCAAAGTTGCCATGCCTACTGAACCCGTGGCGTCAGTACTGCTGTTTGCAATCTCCTACAGACGTCGACGTTAAAACTAGTTCGTTTCATTTCTTGATTCAACCATGGATAAAACCATGAATATACTTTACTATGTATAGATAGTATATAATTAGGCACTTTTAACTTTCAATTGTTGATATAAATACTTATCTACATCTCTCTGTGGTGTTCTTCGCGTTATTTTGAACTTTGAAGTTCTTGTCGTTTCACATGCATTCAGTTGAAAAGGTACAATGGCAGCTTTGTCAAGTAACGAAACTCTTGTTTACCTCTCATTGTTGTGCGTTAAACGATGCACATGACTGTTGTGTTTCTTTGGGGCACGGGTGGCCCAGTCGTCTGAGGCACCGCGATTCGCTTTGCAGAGTTGCGTCCCTTGGGCTCGCAAGAAACCTATGATTGTCGCTTCAGTTCGTTCAGATAACGCTAGGGGGCGCTGTGAATGTCACAAAGGTCAAGATTTAACCTTGACTTTTACATTTGGCTGATGCGATATCTGCTCTCCGTGGTTTGGCAGTGATATCCCAATGCTTCTCCAATGTAATTGCCTTTAAATGTTCCCATTCCAGCAAAAGATAATTTTTTCACCGTTTCGTATACATATCACCTTGCTGTATAGAATGTGTTATTTCCAATTAAACCTACCTTTCAGTGCCAGTATATGTAAGATTAGTTTATACCAGGTTTAGAGCAATGCTCTGAAAATATGTGTTTAGGTATTGAAAGCCTTGAGAAATGTATTTAAGTCCTACACGGAATGAATGTTTCACGTACTTAGCGCGTGAATAGGGGGTTACGGGTAGCAATTCGCTGTGCAGAGTTGCGTCCCTTAGGTACGCCAGAAACCTATGGCTGTGAGTTCGAATCCCGGTCGCCCCGATTATGTTTCTAGGTTTGTCAGCACCATACCCGTGCTCGTGGGTTTCACCGAAGTGGTAAATCTCTAACACCTGCATCACTTCGGGCTTCCTCCCACATCAAGCTGACACACCGCGATATAACTGGAATACTTTTAAAAGCTGCGTTAAACCCAACTCACTCACTCGCTGTTGCGTTTCTCATTCACCTGGCAGCCATTTTGTTTAGGTTGCATATATGCATTGTATTTCGGGTACTGACCTACGTTATCCTTGAGCAACAGTGGTTTACTCAGGTTGAATCTATTCAACCCTGGTTGCCAGAAATGTAGTGACCTCGGTTGACTCAGTTGAACGAACGTACTGACTTCGAGCCGAGCAGTCCTTGTTTTAGTCACATTAATACCGAGCACCAGGCGGGCTTCCATCACGTACGGGTCCCGTGAAGATCTTGGTTAGGATTGGTCTTCAGCGACCCATGCTTGCCGTAAGAGGACTAACGGGATCGGGTGGTCAGGCTCGCTGACTTGTTTGATGCATGTAATCGTATTCTAATTCAGTGGATCGATGCTCATGATGTCAATTACTGGATTGTCTGGTCCAGACTCGATTATTTACAGACCGCCGTCATATAGCTGGAATATTGCCGAGTGCCGCGTAAAACAACCAACCAACCAACCAAATCAAATTGCGTGGATCGATGCTCATGATATCAATATCAGTAAATGTTTATCATAGCCACACAGAAAACGGCGTGACCTTGTAACGCCTTGAGATGATCACGGACGTCACGTTGACATCACATGGCAATATTCCTGCATATCTGACTTCTTACCCATACATATAAACGTCTAACGGTCACCACGTCTCTTTGTAGGATGCCACCGCAGAGGAAGAGGGGGAATTTGACGAAGAGGAGGAAGCAGAGGAAGGGGCTTAAAAAGTCACATGATCACCGAGTTTCTTTGAGAAAGACACTGACCATCCGTCCAAGACTTGTTAATATCTGTTGACATTCCACTCATATTTATAGAAGTACATTTATTTACAAAATTGGTATAGCCTGCCGAAACATGTTAGCTGTGTTGTAGAAAGACTCTGTGCTGGTAACAATTGATAACAATAGGCAGTTTCGTTAGTTTTCATAACTTATCAGTTTTGTCTTAATATATTCGTCAGCTACGCAATATTAACATTAAAACAATAACTGATGCCCCCTCATTGTGTTTGTTTTCCATGTTTTTAATGTTGTTGTTTGTTTGCTGTCTAACGCCGTACTCAGCAGTATTCCAGCTTTACAAATGGCGATCTGTAAATAATCGTGTCTGGACCAGACAATCCAGTGATTGACATCACGAGCACGATCTACGCAGTTGGGATACGTGTCGTAGTTTCTTTCGGCACGTGCAAGTGCAACATTGCTACAGCAAGTTTGCGTATAGCGAACTCGATATTGTAGTTAGAACCATACTTTTACATTGTGAGTTGGTGAGTGAATCTGGTTTAAAGTCGGTTGAACAGTGCCGTTAATTCACTGTTTGTTGTTTCACGCCGCACTCAGAAATAATCGAGTCTGGACCAGACAATCCAGTGATTGACATCATGAGCATCGATCCACACAAATGGGATCAATGACAGGCATCAACCGAGTCCATACCATACCCGTGCTCGTGGGTTTCACCAAAATAGTAAACGTCTGAGACCTACATCAATTTGGGCTGTCCTCCCACTTTAAGCTGACACGTCGTGATATAACTAAAATACTGTTCAGAGCGGCGCTGAACCCAACTCACTCACTTTACACTGCTCGTAGCTTTGACATGTATTGTTTATCAGCCATGTCAAGGATCAATGTCAAAGTTGTCTTGCAATAGACATGCGCTTCCTCAAACGGAAGTGATGTCCTTATACCGGAAATTATTAAGATGGTTGGAGGAATGGGACTTTCCGTTTTAAAGTCGCACTGCATTCAATCTGAATTGACGCCATTTAAAATGGAGGGGGTTGTAACTTTCTTATTAATGTAGCAAGGAGGATAGGGGTTTCTTGTTTAAAATTGTACAGCATTTGGCGTGTGCAATTATAAGACTGAAAGTGATGCCATCGGAGAGTCAAATCCTTTAGGTACCTTCTCAGGGTAGCTAGAGGCAAGGTGAGGTGATATGGGTTCAAGATTATCGCACCTATGTAGCGACGTGCATGCATGTATGCCGCAGTGTAACACGAATACCCCACTCAGACACAGTATACTGACTCCGAGCCAACCAGTCCCTGTTTTAGCCCCTTAATGACCCATTCTGCTATGCACTCGGCAATCAGTTCTTTAAGAAAGTGTTGATGCAGAGTATCAAGTATATAGAGCAGTCTGGACGGTACACAAGGTGTACACAGTTATGTGTCGATGAACCCATTACACTATAAACTGGTACTTGTGCTTAATTTCCGGTGGGAAGTAGATCACAGTAATACAGTTTAATCCTTAAAACTTGATAATTATTGAACATTACAACAATTAACTGTACTCAACTGACGGATAAAGATTGGCCTGATAACGCTGAGTTACTAATTATTAATCTGGACACCTGAGCAGAGGGCGATGTAATCAGACATCTCCCCTGACATCAAAAGTTGGAATAGATAAACTAAAACGGAAACTCGAAGAACTAATAGCGAACCCTGTTGAGCCTGGTCTTCCAGGACATAAAATGTGGAATGGTTAAGTACAAAACTTCAAAAACTATACACGTGATACAACTGTGAACGTTGATATATTTAATAATGAACAAACGGTAGAAGGTATCGGTAGTTGTAAAGTTAACAAAGAAGATGGTAATTGATGATGAGAGCCGCGGAAGGATGTCACGTCACAGTGCTACGAGCCATGGGGCCTGCGTGTCCTTCCACACAGCGAACTAAGCGCTGAGACGATCGTAACTCCCATATTTAAGAACAGACTTACGACATTTGTAGGTCAAAGACCACTTTGTAGAACGGTTCCTGCAGCTGCTTGGACCACTAGCTCAAAACTATGGTAAGTCAATATCAGATTAGGTTGGTGGTTAGTTGTTTAACGCCAAACCCAGCAATGATCCAGGTATATGACGGCGATCTGTAAATAATCGAGTCTGGACCAGACAATTCAGTGATTGACATCATGAGCATCGATCCACACACATGGGATCAATGACATGCATCACCCGAGTCCACGAGGCTGACCGCCCGATCTTGTTAGTCGCCTATTACGACAAGCACAGTCGCCTTTTACGGCAAACATTGGTAGCTAAAGACATATTCTTCCCCGTATCTTCACGGATGTCAATGTCAGAGGATTGGAGCTACGATCGTCGTAGCTATGGTCGCTTTGTGCTGACCTGCACGTGTGAATCGTACTGATAGAGACTCTATGTCAAAGATCAAGATTATCACACATAATTTATGATAATAAATATGTATGCTTCGCTATGGCCGTTTTGTCACTATAAAACATCCTGTTTCCCGTGGTTGAAATTTCCCACCCCGGAACAAATAACACCAAAAGATAAATTTGCCAAACATTACATGTGTGTCAAAGTACTTTGTTACAAATCAAAGGTATTATTTGATTAGATAAAGATATTTCTTTTATCCCGAGGGATATAGCAGATTAGTTATGCACTCAAAGTTACGTTTGATTAAATAAACATCGCAGCTCGGAGTGAACCTGTGCTATTCATGCTAACTCGTGTAAATGGATTACAGAGGACTGGTGGAACCTACTTGTTTTTGGCACACGCAGTTAGCGTCCAGAAAGTAAAATATATGTTCATGTGCAGATATGACTATTGTCGTTAAGTACATGTATTTAACATGATTATTTCATTATTTGTGAGACATAGACGTTCTTCGGAATGTGAAATCCAACCCAGACTCTCAGGCGTGACGAGAGAACACTTCGACCAATAGCCTACCAAGCCTAGGCCATAACCAATAAATTATAAGTTTATCATCCCCACGCACCTCTATCAAACACCTCGCTTCGGTTCAATCCCATTCTGACTACAACCCATTGTGCCTACAGAAAATAATATAAGCAAATTTGGTACTCAGCTTCATCCCTATTTATGTAAATGGACTGAATCACTATTGTTTGACTCATTTTTAAAAATATATGTTGCCCAATCAAGTCAGGCTTGTGCTGTTACAGCTTTCTTCACATCAATTTATTTTCCCCAACTACCCCCAGAAGGCGAATATGTCAATGTTTGTTTAGGTCTTTGTTTATTTGATGAAATACACCATAAACAATGTACGTACATATAGTCGTACAACATATGCAAGCTGCTTGTGCAATATATCCGTTGCCGGTTAATGTTCTCGAACAGTCTGTTTAAAAACATAAATATGACAGAAGTAGAAATATAGAAAGACTGTCGCCTCACATTATCAAAACATTGCTTGCAAATGTAATGATTATTGCTGCCTCAGCTGCCTCAGCTGTAACGACGGAGGTACAGTGAACCGGCATATCTTATTGGGGAAATTGATGCCAAATTCTGTACGTGTATACAGGACGAGACTAATAATACATCATTACATGTTGTATTCCGTAATAATTCCGAATGTTACGTAGTAATGTCCTTTGTATATGTGTAAAACGGGGATTCCAGATTAACCATATCCGGACTGACGCTGTTTACTCTATATGCCACGAAATTAAGGTTTATGAACCGAATCACTGTAAAACTCGAAACTATCAAAACGTAGGTCTTAAACTTTCTCAGAATTGAGGAGCTCAATCTTATCTAGCCATGTTTCAGATAATGTTTTCGTTCCTCACGCCGTCTCAAGATACGCTGATTTATATTCTTTAAAGGCCAGGTTGTACATGGATCCAAGGGGCATAACTCCCCAAGGTCATATTTCATAGGATCAAACCAAACGTTCTCTTGCACGTGCGGCACGAGGACCACGCACACGTCACACACGTTCGCTGGCAATCTGATAAGTGTTTTGAGTATGCCCAGGTTAACATCGATAATCTGTAATCGCTTCAGTTCGTTCAGATTACGCTAGGGGGCGCTGTGAATGTCACAAAGGTCAAGATTTAACCTTGACTTTTACATTTGGCTGATGCGATATCTGCTCTCCTTGGTTTGGCAGCGATATCCCAATGCTTCTCCAATGTAATTGCCTTTAAATGATACCCATTCCGGCAAAGATAATTTTTTCATCGTTTCGTATACATAGCACCTTGCTGTATAGAATGTGTTATTTCCAATTAAACCTACCTTTCAGTGCCAGTATATGTAAGATTAGTTTATACCAGGTTTAGAGCAATGCTCTGAAAATATGTGTTTAGGTATTGAAAGCGTCTAGAAATGTGTTTAAGTCCTACACGGAATTAATGTTTCACGTACTTAATCTAAATGTGTTTTGGACTTAGCACGTGAATAGGGGGCTACGGGTAGCCCAGTCGTCTGAGGCGCCGCAATTCGCTGTGGAGAGTTGCGTCCCCTGGGTACGCCAGAAACCTGTGGTTGTGGCCCCGATTATGTTTCTAGGTTTGTCAGCACCATACCCGTGCTCGTGGGTTTACCGAAGTGGTAAACGTCTGACACCTGCATCACTTCGGGCTTTCCTCCCACATCAAGCTGACACGCCGCGATATAACTGGAATACTGTTAAAAGCGGGGTTAAACCCAACTCATTCACTCACTAGCTCGTTAATAAACACAAACTCTCAAAAATCTTAACATGTTTAGATTTTTTAAAACATATTGATGACAAATTGATTCTGTTTTGAGTACTGTTCAATTTATTAATGACATGTACTTATGATTTGTGATAGTGCTTTGCATTTACGTCACGCTCACAAATATTTCATCACGTGAAGATCGGGGTAAGAATGGGCCATCAGCAACCCATGCTTGTCGTAAGAGGCGACAAACGGGATCGGATGGTCAGGTTCGTCAGGGTTTAAAACAACACTCGAGGAGCTCATATGTCTTGTCTTGCCAACAGGAAGAGGAAATACTCCCACCTGCACAAACGAATCTGGTCAAATGTGCTGTTTTGTCCAACGGAATGAAATATCTAGTCCTTTGCTTCTCTACCCAGACTATTATTCTTGGTGATGCGAAGTTACTTTACACAAGCCGAGCTGTCTGGCTGCCATCCAGTCAGAGAACTCTGACCAGCGACGTGCCCATGTCCATTTTATACAGGGTAGCCTATCCACCCATCTAAGAAACATACTTATATGAAGGACGTCAAACGCTATCTCTATGTTGCACCCATGACCAGAGATGGCCTACAAGGGAACATATCCTCATACCTCGTGACGTTCTTGACGGCCTGTTGACACCCTGGAGTTGTGCATCCAACTCAAGCCCCTGACTCGACCTCGTAGAGTGCTACTGGTTGACCCTGTCCCTGGCATCACACCTCTCATTAATGGGAGAGATGCTGAGTTGCGGATTCTTCCAGATTGATAAACAATGAACGCGAATAACAATGTGTCTTTTGGGCTATTTCCTGGAAGGGAGGTAACGAGTGGTATGACGCTATTGGCGTCCGATTGACTGTTTTTCGTCTTCTTTATATTTAGGAATTTCCAAGAATGCTGCCATAGCAGGTGAGGTGAAATGGGATTTAAAGTCGCTTTCAAGATTATTACTTATTATAGAGCGATGTGCATGCTTGTGTGTGTGTGTGTGTGTGTGTGTGTGTGTGTGTGTGTGTGTGTGTGTGTCCGGGCTAATGCCGATTTTATAGTGCTAGCCCACTGAGATAGCATGCTGCAGTTTAACATGAATACCCTACTCAGACACAGTATGCTGACTCCGAGCCGACCAGTCCTTGTTTCAGCCCTTTAATGCCGAGCGCCAGGCAGGGTAACAACAAGTACATTCTTTTGGTTTGGCGCCTCAAAACTTCCGCTCTGCGGGCAGACTCTCTATCCACTATACCACGGAGGCGGTCTCATTGAGTTAAGAAGTGATTGAGGTTAATACGTCCTGGCTGTTTTTACACAATGGACACACCTTTGTTGAGGTTGAGGTTCTTTTCGAGTTAGGTAACTGACGGGTAGTGAAGTCTTGAAGTGAGAGTTCTCATGATCTTGACTCTTCGGACGTACGGACCCCGTCCAGAAGAGACGTCAACGCCTGATCTCCGGTGTAATAGAGGATGACGTTCTTGAACGTAACTCTGAGCCATCACGCTGTTCTTGGTGGAGGAAGTGGAGCCATGTGAGAACGATGACGTTCTCCCGCGGAGGAGTCAGTCCGTCGTCTTCCTCCATGTTGTTGCCATGATGTGTTACACCTCCGTCCAGACGCAGGAGATGATCTTCCGCACATGCTGACACGCTCTAAGTCCTCGGGCTTTTCATCGGGTTGAAGTTGGATATCACTGTCAAGGAAATGCCCATCTGACGATTGGAATCCGTAGTGGAGACGTATAGTCTGCCAGATATTCTCAATGGCAATAGAGGTTTCTGCTGGTTCAACTCCCCCGCCGTCATCGACGAAGCGTCGTAGCGGTGTACCACGAGTTGTCTTGCCCTATGTTGCGGCAGCAACGAGAAAGGGATCCAGTGAGAGTGTATACACTAATTTTTGTCTCCAATTTTCAAAGGGATAGACCGTCTCAGTCTTCGACAAACACCACTGCTTAGGGGTGCGAGGTGTGTTAACCCTGCTGTCTGTCGAACGATGATACAATCAGTGTCAGTTTCCCGTACAATATGAGACGGACTGATTGCTCATGTGTCTATATCGACGGGGGTCGACCAACGCTGCCACCACGCCAGTTAGGTAAGGTACAACAACAAAAACACTTCAAATATAGACAGTGGCAGCGATCGTAACATACAAACATGGCGGCCGGCACAGGCCGTTGCTGAGCAACCATAATGTTTTCCTGAAACTAATACTAAGCGGTAATGGCGCCTTATAAGAGCCAATTCTCTACAACCATATTGTCTTAAAACCCAATGAGCTAACGAGCCCTTTATAAGAGAAAATATCATCTACTACCATTTTGTCATATGAGTAACAGGCTGCCTAATAACGGCCTCAAACAATAGAAATGTTCTCCATCACCGCCGTATTAGAGGCGCCATGGCTACTCCATTTATAAAGAATTAGGGTATGCTGTAGACAGAATAACTGTAAAAAGCAACAGCGACTCTATGATAACGGCAATGCACCATGGTTTAAAATGCGTTCCAGAGTGTGTGTTTCTAAACGTGTTAAGAATTGACTGCTACTTGAACGAAACTTCACATTGCCAAGTGGATATTTCCGAGTGTACGAAGCACTCCTGCACTTCGTATTAAGCAATACCGCCAAGACGAACCAAACACAACAACATGTTTGTCTTCGAAATTATGGTCATTAAATACATTTTCAGAATTGGACATCTTGTTTTCACTGGTGATCCGGGTTAGAATAGGTCTTCAGCAACCCATGCTTGTCGTAAAAGGCAACTATGCTTGTGGTAAGAGGCGACTTACTCAGGCTCGCTGACTTGGTTGATGCATGTCATTTTATCCCAATTGCGTAGATCGATGCTCATGATGTCAATCACTGGATTGTCTGGTCCAGACTCGATTATTTACAGACCGCCGTCATATAGCTGGAATTTGGCTGTGTGCGGCGTTAAACAACATGAAACAAGCAAACAAACATCAATATCATTAGGTCAATCACTGTACCCTCTTCATTACAATAGTTACATTGATATGACCGTTGTCTATATCGTTCCCCACAACGCGTGACTTGGTTTGTTATAGCTGCTGCGTAGATCGTCGCTTATGCTTTCCACAAATGGTGTGTCGAAAGCAGCTTTCATTATTTACAGGAAGTAAACCAATATTCACTCAATCACTCTTTAGCTGTCCTTTGCCATCTGTAAATCTCAAATATATTTGTTCTCTTAGTCCACCCTGTTACACACAAGCAGGCTAAGTAGGTCTCACCTTCAATAGATGCTCACTTTTTATCTTGGTTTATTCCAAATCATTACGATACAAATTTATTACCCCTTATGACGTCATGTCCAGCTGACCCGTACATCAGTTAATCCGGACTTAACTTGGCTTATACTGTTTCCCGTGTTTAGAGTTTCACAGTGATATACATGTATGTTATAACAAACGCCGCAATTTGATATAGCTGGAATACTGTTAAAGGCGGCCTTACACCTAACTCACTCACTCAACCATACGTCATCTCGGTCCAATTTCGTTCACGTGCCTGTCACATGACGCAAGTTGAACCTTTTATACATGTTCACCTTTTTCTTCAAATGAGATTGTTGACTTAAACCCTAGGGCCCTGAACATTTCTTAGTATCAAATACCTGGAGTTCATTACTCGCGACTGAGGATATGAAAGATGACAATCAAATGGTGTAAAATCACTACACCACTTCTGCCCGAGGTGTGGCTAGCGGAATAAGCCGAGTGGATCCGAATGCCACCAGCAGTTGTCAACAGGAAGACGGGAAGTGCTTCCACCTGTTGTCGGTATAACGAGCGCGTGAACCATCAGCGGTCTTACCCCAGCCTTATTATGATTTATAGAAATAACTGATCCAGTAACGCGTGTTTCGTTTGACACTGCGCATTGCAGATAAAACGCCGATACAAAATTATCTCCCCTGATAACCTCTTGACACACTAAGATAGGAAAACACATAAAAAATTAATTATCTCTTCTCATTGCAAATGACGGAGAAAATGTGTTCTGATATAATCTGCACGTTGATGCCCGAATCTCACCTTGCAGAGAGCTGGTAACATGACACGGCAGCCGTCGTGATGGACATGCCTTGACGATTCATGTTGGTACATTCTAATTAATCAAGTGCATATGCATTTGATTCATGACAAGGAACCGACCAGGAAGGTTTAATGTGTACCCACCAATCTCGAAAAACAACAACAATAACAACAACAAAAACAACAACAATACTACTCCTACTCCTACTACTACTACTACTACTACTAAAATAGTATACTTGTAAAGAGCATAACTCCACACGTAATATACGCAATCCCCGTCCTTCAGAATTGAGAAGTTCCAACGAACATTGGGGACACTTTGGGGAAAGTAAACAAGCTTTGTAAGACTTTGTTAGGATTAATTTTATTTTAATTGACAACAACAAGAATAAGTTTACAAGAATATCAGCACCACATAAAATGTTCATAAATGCAATAGACCAGAATGCTGCTGTTCCGGTGTCATGTTGTCGCTCTTCTTGCGGTTAATTTCACACATCACTCAACATTCATACTCTCTCCATCGTTAAACTGAGAAAATATATTCAATAAATATAATATCTATACATCACAGACACCATCGTTATCGTAACGGCGCCATTTTAATGTCCTACGGCTACTCCCCCTACAAAAGAAACGCATGTGTGGTTTTACAGAGATTCATTCTGTGTCTACTGCAAGGTTTAAAAGCGATACGTGGAACAGGTGTGTGTGTTTGGAAGATTACAAAACTTGCGTTTGATCACGAAAATTTTAGTGATCTGAGTCAACCGAGGTTACCACATTTCTTGCCGGTCATGGCGGTTACTCTGAGATAAAATAACGTCAACGTAAGTTTTTTTTGTTTGGATTCCGGCAGGTCGTAGTCGGTTAAGTTACGGACAGCCTTTGCAGATATGTGACGTAAACTACTGAGCCCAAAGTCGTGAACCTGCTACTGATGCTTTTGATTCACCATCTTGAAGTCCAGTAACAGCTTCATTTCTCACGTTATTATTGAGCCTTGGCGTGACGATTTTCAAAATTCGCTTTGTTAGCTGAGTGATTTGTGAAAACGACAAGTGCCAAGTCCAATGACTTGCAGGTGAAAACTGCTTTCAGTTTCCCAAGAAAACGAATCATGCACATGTCAGAGGTCATCGATATTAACTCTATGGAAGACAATAAAACCTTTTTGTGGCACTTTATCAGTAAAGACGAACGACTTTATTTTCATGTAACACTGCAACATGGAAACTGCTCCATCCACGTACTGTACTGATGAAAATAACGTTACCACCAACGCGTTTCCTATTGTGGAGAGTATATTTCTTTGAATGACTGTCATCACAGGTTACGGTGTTATGGCACTTCCATGAAATGACAATTCTAACGTTAACGTTGCAGCAGTTGCAGATGGGTAAGAACGATAATTGAGATTTGAAATTCAAGGGTAATCTTTCTGTACGACAAACTGGCGAGTCATTCTCATGGTCCTGATTTCGTCACAGCTCTTTGTTATACAGCATATTTCATATACACTTATATACAGATACCTCCCTTTGTCTTGTGTACTGTATAGGTAAGTCGGTGTTTGGAGCTTGGGAGAGTGCACATTATGTTGGGCGTGCGATGGCGTCATATAAATCTATGATACATATATCTCTGCACTTGTTTCCTGTCACGTGACAATACAAGGTGAAGGTCACGTCGGTTACGTGTCGCTGAATACGTATAAGGTCCAGGGTGGAGGGAGAGGTAGAGATTGTTTCCATGGCTACAGATAACCATGACAACACAGTATGACTATTTCCCAGCTTTTTCTTGACCTTTCCTAAGTTGTTTGTCCTTGTTTCTCCCCTTCTTGTGCCGTAAGTGTCGAACATGTCGATCCGTTTGTCTCTCTATCGGAGCCTCGAATGGAGACCCTATGTCATCATTTTGAATCGACGGACAGTGCCCCGATTGCACGTGTAATGTCCCATGCGTGCAAACTGGTTTTAGACATGTTTTTGCTTTAATACACCTGAAAAAAAAGATTGCATTCAATTTTTGTATAAGAACGCAAAGCGCTTTTTCACAGGGATTGTTCACTTTTTCGGTAATGGCTAAGCCGTAACTATTAGCTAAATGAATTGTGTAGATGCGATACAATCTAAATAGACTTTGTTAAGCAAGAATTTCACACAATTTGGTTGTGGTTAAATCCTCATTTATTTACAGTGAACTGGGATTATAACGAACTCAAAGGGACCCCTTATTTTAGTTCGCAATATCCGTAGTTCGTTATAAGCATAATATACAGCACATATGCAACAAATGGCCGGGACTAAAAAATAAGTTCGTTATATCGGTCAGTTCCTTATAAGCGTGTTCGTTATAAACAGAGTTTACTATAACTGATTTCACAATCGCCTGCTTAATTCTAATTCAATTCGCACTCGCTAACAAATACTTACTCAAAGTCAGACAGGTTTACAAAGGATTAAATAATTTTTAGTTCATTAAGATGCTTACGCTAAGTCTCTTTCCTGTAGAGGTATGAAGCCATCTTTGATGCTCTGACAGACGTAATTGTTTTCATCGGCTGATTGGTCACAGTCGCATGTGCACTGAACCCCTTTACGCATCATCATGAAGGGGAATGGGCACTTGTATTTGTCACAACTGAAATGAGATAATAAAACATAAATATATATTTAAATTTCATTGATACTATGGTCACATTCATATATCCTGAATAAGGTCGTTTAGGTTCGAATCTCTTTCGATGTCTTTTTGAACACAAAACCACATGTCTGATGTTTGAAAATATTGATAACGGCTTTAATTGTGGGTGAGCATATTTTGAGTCTTGTTAAACGCCACACTCAGCAATCTTCTAGTAATTTGACGGCGGCCTGTAAATAATCGAATCTGGCCCAGACGCTAAAGTGATTGGTATCATGAGCAACGATCATCGCCGTCGGGGTACGGTAATATGCAATCAGCCAATCACCGAACCTGACCACCTTAACGTCGCCTCATGGGACATGCGTATACCTACTTGGGGAGGCCTTGCTTCTCCTTACAGGCGCATTCTGTATGGTTGATAAAATTCTTCTTCTCCACCATATTTTTGTCGGGAAGGGTATTGTCCCCAATCAGCTGTACGACCTGTCGTTTACAAAAATAATAAAATACAGTTTTGATAACTGAAGAAATGTGAACAATAAGTCTTACATTATCAAAACATACAATTACTTTGTTTAATTTCTATTTGTTATTTCAATAAGTTCCTGGTACAATAAAATTCAAATATGTCAAACTGAAGACTATATTGATTCTGTTTCGAAGAAACTCAACACTTTTCAATCAAAACTTTGTTATTTCCTTAACTGAACATGGCAAATAATGAGCTATAGATGAAATAGTATTTTTGTTATTTGTTACGCATTTATAGATCCATCTATAAAGTTAAGGGCTATGCGTATTATCTTAGTCGTAAATGGTAAATATTTAAATGTAACAATCCTTCACGTTTTCAAAACAATGGATTTAACTATACGGAGGAAACAGTACCAGCTATTCTGTGTCTCCAGAGATATGTATTTGAAAGAGATGCAGGTTTCAGGCAATAGGGTGGAATGAGGTGGAACCCACGAGCACGGGTATGGTTCTACGACTGGGCCACCCGGCGTCCCACCGAGAGGAAGAGGTTGGATTTACTGAAAGAGCTCTGACTTACAATGAAGGATTTTTCGATGACTTCTATTCTGATAGGTCCACATTCCCTGTTCGCGGCGCCACAACACCCGGAGACGTTCTTACAGCGGTGTACAACAGTGCATTGTGGGAAGTACACTCGGTGTTTGTTTTCTTCGTCTATGACGTTGACAATCTCTGGCTGAGGCGTCTTACACTCCCCAAGAGGGCTGTTGGCCATTTCCTCAATATGATACATCGCTTCCGAAAGCTCTAGAAATATAGAAACATAGGAAGATGTAAATCAACACCAATAGCTAGGAAACATACCATTTAATACATATTAAACGAATTTTGATTGACTGCTAGAAATAATATTCAAACAGTAGAAACAATTTAATTTAGAAATATGTACTCAGCGATACCCGTTAGTCCGAAGCCCCGTTTATCTGAAACCTCGTTAGTCCGAAACCTCCTTAGTATGAAACCCCATTATTCCGAAACCCGGTTTGACTGAAACACCGTTTGACTGAAACTCCGTTAGTCCGAAACCTCGTTAGTCCGAAACCCCGTTAGTCCGAAACCCCGTTAGACTGAAACCTTTTAGTCCGAAACCCCGTTAGTCCGCAACCCCGTTATTTTGAAGACATCATAATCCAGACGACCTTGTTGCAGTTGGGAACATCATTGTGCATATTTATACAACGTTACTTTGCACCCACGATCCGTTATTAGTTGAGGTGAAATGTTGTTTAACGTCGCGTTCAAGATTATTGCACTTATATAGCGACATGCATGCACGTGTGTGCAGCTGCTTGTATTTGTCCGGACTTTATAGTGCTAGCCAACTGAGATACTATGCCGCAGTTTAACATGGATACCCCACTCACACACATTATACTGACTCCGAGCCGACATGCCCCTTAATGTTAATCACTATGCAGGGTAACAACAAGTACCATCTTTTGGTATGACGCAGACAGAGGATCGAACCACAGACCTTCTGCTCTCCGGAGCAGACCCTCTATCCACTAGGCCACGGAGGCGTTCTAAACAATTAGCTCTCATCATATTAACATGGTTTCATGGGACATAGTTTGTCACTTCGAGACATAATTTATCATATTAGTTAACACCTATCCAAAGCTAGTGGCGGGATCGCCAGAAAAGCCTACCATTTTTCGAGATACTCAATCTATGAGACACTCGTTATTAAAGACAACATATTAAGGGACATCACAATAAGGAATACACGTTTGTATGATGCATCTTTAAGGTTCCTATTCATCGTGCTGTTCTTATGCTGCCCAAAGTTCCCTCGGGAAAATAACGTGTCATCTCATCATATCTCATTGCAAAATATTTGGTTCATTTGTACCTTCATCAAGCCGATCCTGCTCTTCATCCATGTGCATATCATCCTCATCCACTCCCCATGATTCTTCGTCATCAAATTCCTCATTGAAATCTCTACTCTTCTTCTCAGCTCCTAGAAATTTCTGTATAGTCCGGGCGTTCACAATTTCATCTATCAACTCATTCGATAAATCTTTCTTATTCAGGAATATACGTAAAAAGTCATAGTAATTTTTTGTATGCTGTAATTGTCTTTTTAATTCACTTAAAGGCACTGGTTGTAGGTGAACTCCCTGAAAATAAATGGAATCATAATTACATTTTGTAGAGTATGATTATATAATGGATGATAAACCATGATTAAACATCAAGTCAATCATTTCTTTGGAGTGGGTGAGTGAGTGAGTGAGTGAGGTATGTATGTATGTATGTATGTATGTAGGTAGGTAGGTAGGTAGGTAGGTAGGTAGGTAGGTAGGTAGGTAGGTAGGTAACTTCACCCTGGGGACAACTTTAAATACGACAACCAAGGTCTGTGAACACTAACAACGTTATGCTATCCTTCGCATTAACTTTCACGATGATAACTTACATACTGTCCAAAGCCATGGGAACTCAGTCACTTTCTTAACTGTATTTTAGTATGTTCGCTTACAGAAAGTAGGGGATATATTGCTTTCATTACCAATCGACAATAATCGAGTGAAAGCAGTAATGAACGATGTAATGGAAAATGAAAAATTAGACATGACAACCGATGACAAAGAAGCTCCAAAATACAATTTTGCCAATTCGCAAACACATGCACTTCAGTAGTAGGAATAAATGTGTCAGGACAACCGAATATCATCTACTGATTGCCAAGGTGTTTTACTTGTAAGAGGCGGCTAACGTGATCGGGTGGTCCCAGTTGCGTAGATCGATGCTCGTGATGTCAATCACTGGATTGTCTGGTCCAGACTTGATTATCTACAGACCGCCGTCATATAGCTGGAATATTGCTGAGTGCGGCGTAAAACAACAAACAAACGAACGAACAAAAGGGAAGAAGAGCAGGACGTCCCCATCAGTTACACGTCTATCGACAGAGGAGACAGCAACAGCCGTTACAACATTAAGTGCGGGATTGTCTTGTATTTCAGGACAATCTCCTGGAAAGTGACACGGAATTCACACACCTGCTAACATATCAATTTATTATACTGTCACATCCAGGAACTGTCGGTAGCGATTTAGATAAGCGACATTTTTACGACATTATATAGCCGTAATTAGGGACGTTTTACGGCAGAAATGCCACTTACAACAAAAGCAAAAGACTGAAAATGACATTTGGGGTTGAGTCTGAAAGGGATGCTTTCTGGAGGAAGATGAATAACAAATACTGCCGTGTCTGATTTTTGCCATTCAGACGGAGACAGAAATAAACGCCATGTTGTATACATATTTGTTGTAAGGTTATCACTTATAACATGAGGCGCGCGGCAGGGGAAGGCTGTGATATCTTGGGCTAATCTGCTGGGTCAGAGTGACATTGATGACGGAGAGGGAAGCAGGGGGGCTGACTACCCTCGCAAACGTCCACTGCATATATTGTATCTTTATAACGAAAAGGTTTAGTCTTGAGGATCATCTTGCCAGCGTGTGATAAACTCTATTCTTGAAATGACCTGACCCGTGCGGCATCCCCTTCGATTCTTGTTTTATTGCCAGAATGTTGCTAGTGTTGAATCTAAATACGGTTTCGTACCACTGGATTGCCTGATCCATCACTTGATTGACTGGTCAACTCTCGATTGTTTACAAGCCGATATCGCATGGCAGGAGTAGTGTGGTGCGTCGCCAGGCAACAAACAAACACTAACAACATGTACCTTTATTAGCAAATTGTGTGGATGGCGGTTGCTACCGGTAAAGCAGGCCGCGCTTACCCTTTTCATGAACACCCGGTGTCATCACTGATTTTCAGTGATCCATTCATATCATCTACCACTATGGAATCTGTTCCAGCATAAAATCGAGACTGATTATTACCTGACGTTAACGTTATCATACATTATATTTTCCTACTACTACTACTACTACTACTACTACTACTACTACTACTGTCAACAATGATCAGTTCTACTACCATTACTACATCTACCACTACTACTACATCTACAACTGATGGTGCTGCTTCTACTACTACTACTACTACAACTACTACTTTTACTACTGATGACGCTACTATTACTACTACTACTTCTACTACCACTACTACTACTACTACTACAACTATTACTACTGCCACCACTACCACAACCACCACTGCCGATGATGGTGGTGCTACTACTACCACTACTACTACATCTACTACTACTACTACTACTAGTACTACCGTGTAAATCTTACGTAACAGCCACACAATAACATACCTACATTTACCGTGTAAATCTCTGCCTGATGTGACAGCCTCACAATACCATACCTACATTTACCGTGTAAATCTCTGCCTGACGTAACAGCCCCACAATAACATGCCTACATTTATCATGTAAATCTGTGCCTGACGTAACAGCCCCACAATAACATGCCTACATTTATCACGTAAATCTCTGCCTGACGTAACAGCCCCACAATAACATGCCTATATTTATCACGTAAATATCTGCCTGACGTAACAGCCCCACAATAACATGCCTACATTTATCACGTAAATCTCTGCCTGACGTAACAGCCCCACAATACCATACCTACATTTACCGTGTAAATCTCTGCCTGACGTAACAGCCCCACAATACCATACCTACATTAACCGTGTAAATCTCTGCCTGACGTAACAGCCCCACAATAACATGCCTACATTTATCACGTAAATATCTGCCTGACGTAACAGCCCCACAATAACATGCCTACATTTATCACGTAAATATCTGCCTGACGTAACAGCCCCACAATAACATGCCTACATTTATCATGTAAATCTCTGCCTGACGTAACAGCCCCACAATACCATACCTACATTTACCGTGTAAATCTCTGCCTGACGTAACAGGCCCACTATAACATGCCTACATTTATCATGTAAATCTCTGCCTGACGTAACAGCCCCACAATAACATGCCTACATTTATCATGTAAATCTCTGCCTGACGTAATAGCCCAATAAGAACATACCTACGTGTACCGTGTCAATTTCTGACGTAACAGCCTCACGATAGCATACCTACATTTATCATGTAAATATCTGTCTGACGTAACAGCCTCACGATAGCATACCTACATTTATCATGTAAATATCTGTCTGACGTAACAGCCTCACAATAACACACCTACATTTATCATGTAAATAAAAGCGTGACGTAGTAATGTCACATCAGTCCTTTGGCAAGGTGACTTGTTTCAGGAAGAGGGTCACGCTGACCTGTCACACATACTGTGACGTTACTGACGGAACAGGCGGGGTAGCGTTATGAAGCGTTCAGGTGGGAACATGCAGGGCCGCATTCCATTGACTCACGCGGAATTCAAGAGCACGTTCTATATATAGTTAAACTTTAAATATCCCTTGAAGAATGAAATAGCTGTGGGCGCTTTTAAGAGACGTTTTGGTGCGCTTCAGCATGTGACATGGAATTATAAGGCCAGATACTGCGTTTTGAAGTTAACTCAGTGTAGCAATTACTTCTCTGTATGTTTAATGTTAAGCTCGAAAGCGAGAGCATGTTATTCTACTAGGCTTAGTTATCCTATTACATTAATTCCGGGGAGGAATAGGACCTCAGTTTATAGATTGTCGTAAGAACCGATAAACAGGATGAAGTGATCAGGTTCGGTTGCTAGGCTGATTTCGCATCATCGATTCCGGATTGTGTGGATCGTTGCTCATGTTTTGGTCATTGGTCTGTTTAACTAAGGTTGGTTGGTTGGTTAGTTTGTTGTTTCACCTCAGCAATATTCCAGCTGTATGAGGGCGGTCTGGAAATAATCGAGTCTCGACCAGAAAATCCAGGGATTGATATCATGAGCATCGATACACGCAATTGGGATCGATGACCTGCATCAACCAAGTCGGCGAGCCTGTCTACCCGACCCTGTTAGTCGCCGCTTACGACAAGCACAGTCGCCTTTTACGGCAAGCATTGGTTGCTGAAGACCTATTCTACCCCGGATCTTTACGGATCGTCTAACTAAGAGACTAATGTTACATATATATGAGAAACAGGGACACGCACCGCCCAGTTTTCTAAGAAGGTAGCATACATCGTAGCATACACGATCTCCTCTAGGTTCGAATCCAAGATAAATTCTGATTATGATCCTTGGTCTATCGCCACCAAAATGCGCTAAACATAGATAAACGTCTGTTGAAAAACATCCGATATTCAATTATCGAAAGCAGGTGATTTGTTTTTATTTTAAACTATGAGCCTGAATTTATTTGAAGAAAAACACTTTGCAACAATGTATTTTTTGTGGCAGGCAATTACTTTTTTTTTAATAAATATCGGGGACAATATGTTTGTTTGGCTGAAATCCCAGATTCAGGTAGGCATAACCACCACCAACACTCCCACTACTACCACTACTACCACCACCTACACTCCCACCACTCCTACCGCCACCACCACCACCCAAACTAACTCCCACCACTCCTACCACCACCACTCCTACCACCACTACCCCGACCACTCCTACCACTACCACCACCACTACGACCACCCACACAACTCCAACCACCACCACGTGCACCCCTACCACTCTCACCACTACCGCTACTTTCACCACCACTACGACTATCACCACCCCCACCCATCTTCCCGAGGCAAGCGAGTTAACTGACTTTAAAAGTCCAGTTTCCACCCTTGCCGAACTAGGCTGGAATTAATGGGCTCGATCGTAGCGCCACCAGTGGCTATTATGTCCCTTATGTTATGTCCCTTCTATGCCTCTCCCATTGACCAATCAGATTCCACATCTCGTATCACTTGCATTTGCTTCTCAAACTAAATGGCGGCGCCAAGACAAGACGATCAGATCGATAATCAAGATCTATATTGTGATAAAACGGGTCTTACATCGCAATATGCATCAAATCACGTGAGCACCTTGATTAAAAACATGAAAAGATTTGGAAAATATCTGTTGACAACGAGTTGGCGGTGGAAATGATTTGCCAATCCTGCAATCGACCGAAATCTGCACGACAGTTTACGAACCGGATTTCGATTATGTTGCGCGATTTTGCTTGGACTATGCATAGACTCGTTAGTCCAGCCAAAATGTAACTCCATAATATCAGCCTAGTTCG